AAGACCCTACTCTAGGGAAACACCCATACTTTGAGTGGTATACCCCACTATCGGATCCAGGTGCGTTTTTGCTATGGTGGAGCCGCGTGTGGCAACAATTGGATCGCCTCGACCTTGCGATCTACACGGCCCCGATGGGGTGGAGGCGTTACCCTACAATGACCACCCGCAGCGTGACGTGGGCGGAAGCCATGTCTTATACAAAACGCGGTGCTCGACTTCTTCACAATCAGCTGTTTCTTGGAATATGGGAGACATAGCATGAATATTGGAAGATCAGCTGCAAGCGCCGTAACACCGAAATTTGGCGCCGTCGACGTAAAACCCTGTGCAAGGTGGTCAATGCTGGCATTGTGTCACGACGGAAAAAATGGACCAAGAAGACTAAGGTGCGGGTGACGCATGCTATCAGCACGAGAAATGCGAATCTTCGATCCCGCGTAGACGGTGGGCCGACGACCGGAGACATCGATTAACTGAGCATGGGAGTCGGCTTGGGGCCTCTTAATTATCAACTGAGACCTCATTTGGACGCGACGCGCGAACATGACAAATACCAACAGAACAACTACTGGCTTGGTGGAGTGGCGCTCGACCATGCCAAGCCCTTCAAAACCCTGGATAGACCTGCCAACACCGGTGGGTGCCTCTTCAGGGGCCATGTATATGTATATTCTCTTTTCTTTGGTAGCTACCGCAGAAACTAGGCTAGCACTTAGGGTCTGTAGGCGAGGATGCAGCGTAGCGCGCCTCGGGTGTAGTCGCCATAACCGCAACAAATTCAAATTCAAAATTTATTGTGCAAAACTCTAAAATCCTTTCCAGACAATCATCTTTGGAAATAGAATACCCTCTAGTTAGAGGGTTGGACTCAACCTCGGAGACCACTCCAGGTTGGAGTCGTCTTCATTTGACCGTCAGCATACAGTCTGACAGTCAGAATTAGCTCAGATTATACCAAATAGTGATATAATACATAATCGACGAGTATACATAATCGATGAGTATATCGATTGGTGACCAGTAACGACATTTGCTTCTTCCAACCCCGCTTACGAACCAATTTTCAGTGGGGTTGTCTACGACTACGTTCTCTTCTGGCGGCTTTAGCTGGTGTGCTTTTGTAGCTCTTTAGCGGGCATCAGATCTTTTTGTGTCCAAGCGCGACATCATCACGGCAAGCTCATCGGTGCTCATGAGTATTATTTACAACTGCCGGTATGATATTCGATACATGTACCGGTAGCCCTGTAGTCCCACAAAGATGGGTGCGGACATTGAATTACAGAACTTCACGCTATGCCGTTAGCTTGTAAGTAATTTTTAGAGCCCATCATTGCCCAATATCAAAATGCTATTGATATACGAAATATATTGATATTTTAAGGATCTTTAATCCTTAAAATATCAATATATTTCGTATTATTAAATCTCCAGGCTCAAAATCCTAATCGAGATTTCAAAACAAGTCCCGCGCCCATTTTTTGTTACCTGTCCCGAATTATTTTTTTGTCATTCATGTGTACCACTCCACAAACATATCTTGAAGCGGCGTGTCAAAAGATTTCGATGTGTCATTCGCCAATCTTCCCCTGAGTATCTACGATGTCTCTGAGGCTGCCACGCTCCTCTTACCTGCACCAGCTGTTGTTTCTGGGCTCGATGGCCTTGACGTTCGCCACCTCTCAGAATGTGCGGGAGGTGGGCGTTCTGAACAACAAAGCACCAATCACGGGTCTCTTAAGCCGCAAGACCCAAGAAGGACTTGCCAACGTCGCAGGGCAGAGAGAGCAAGTCCTCACGGGAGATCCTGATGGAGATCTGATGAATGGAGAGGAAGCCATCGTCGCTGCGGCGCCTGTAAACGGCCCCGACACGTTCCTCCCGATGGACGAACGCAGCGAGGAGGTCGTGGATCTGGTGAAACAGTTCATGGCTCAGTACGAGGAGGAGGTGGGGCGTACCGCCCTCAAGGCGTCGGTGCTGCAAGTGCTGAAGGCCGAGACGACGGAGCCTCGCGAGGAGGCGCAAAAGATCGAGATCGGCACGGGATTGGGCGAGGAGAACAACTTGGAGCTCGTGGAGACCGATGTGAGTCAGATCATGCGCGTCTTCTTGCTCGTGGACTATGGTTTCCAGTCGAGTATGATGGATGCCAAGCGCCCGTACGTGTCGGTACTGCGATTGACCATGGATTGTGTCAACAACACGATAGTAGACGAGGAAAACATGGAGTGCGACCTATTAGAACACTTGGACCTGCCTCGACGCACAGGAGAAGTGGGCCAGGCGATCCAACGCACCATCGCTGACGCCGCCCCGGCTTCCTTCCTGGCTTCACACTCTCTCCACGTGAAATACGACGCTGTCGAGCTGCAAGAGATCGCATCGAATAAAGACAGAGATACTGAGAGCATGACGTATGTTCGCTACCGAGTGGCAGACAGCAGCGGCAAGTTCGGCCACGACGACTGCATGCTGGTGCTGCTACAGGCTCGTGGTGTGAACACGCTCATGTACAACGACACAATCTGCTTCGATAGTGCAGCCAAGTCGGCTGTCATGGTCGCGTACGAGTACGCCTCGAATAATTTAAGCTTCAGCGCGCTGATCTTCGCCGCCATCTGTGGGGGCGTCGTCGCCTCTGTCGTCCTGATCCGCCATCGTCGCAAGAACCAGCGCTTTGGCTACTCGTACGTCCGCTCCAAGAAGCCGTCGCATGTGCCCAGCCAAGCAGCCACGGGTGTCAAGTATGTCGATGCCGAGTCGCCAGCGATTGCCTGCTAAGGAGATGGAGTTCCATGTGTAAGCTGAACGCTCGCAACCCACCGTAAATTCTTTACTAGGTTTTGTCTTCATAGTTATCCCTTGATAGTATTTTATCGGGGCTGCTTAGGGAGCTCGAGGTTTCCAAATTTAAAAATAGGGCTATATGATGTACCTAAAAAATGATCCAAAGGTATCGCACCTGCAGGCCCTCATAGAATTGCAATGTCGTGAGCTGGGCCAAGAGAATACGGTATGCCTCGCTCAAAGAATTACAGCGGAGATGTATTGTAATATATCACGAAGCCATATTACGCCTCAGCTCTGCTAGTCGGTGGCTTAAAGTTGAGATCACCCTTAATGAGGCGACAATTGAGCAAGTGTAGGCGTTTTTACAAATCGTACGCTGATACATGGAAGTAGTGTTGAGTTTCGCAAGAATTACAAGTAGACATGGACCTTAATAGTGCGCTTCCTAGATTTTTCGGCAGGGCGCTTTAGAATATCCTGCACCGTGTGGGAAGAAGCCAGCATTTATATAGTGCTTCGTTCCTTTAGCTCTGTAGGAAATCTGGAGCTTTCCATGATTTTGTTTCTGTAAATGGTTCCTCGTGGTAGGTACTTAAGGGTTATTATCCTGTTCATCCACTTACCTCGATAGAAGAATGGTCTGACCACTCCAATGACGCAAAGTGCTCATCGACTACGTAACAAATGTTGCATACCCTCATTGACTGCTAAGATACACAAAATATCACAAGAAAGAACAAAAGACCACTCTAGTGCTCTCTAAACCTACGAAGGGGTCCGTGGACGAGGAGGGGCACTTATGCGGAAAACAGTTCTGTAATCATCACTGTCATCTCGGACGTGTAAAATATGTATTATAGTTGTGCTGATATGCGGCTAAAGTCCCAATCTGACAACTACAAAATGCATTTGGATACATCAAATAGCCCTATTTCTAAACTTGGCTCCCAAAGCTCGAGCTTCATTGTTTTTCCCGCCTAAACATTGTTAAAAAACCTTGCTTCTACAGTAGCACCTTCTCTTCACTGTTTATCTAAGCCTGATAAACCAATTAAACCCCTTGTTGGCTTTTCCACGCTGCAGCATGTGAGTTAGAATCCGAGAGCTATTTATCTGGAGCCCGAAGTCTTAAGCTTACCTGTGGTCTCGCGTCTTCACTTAAATCCTGTAAGCTCGCCTAGAACGATGAAAATAAATTACATATTTATGTAAGAAGTAGAGCTGGGCACAACGGGTTCCGTTTGAATTTATAAAAAGCATCACCAAAGCGACTCTTTTGTGGTTATCTCGAATCGGGACGGAGGAATAAAACGCAATTACCGAGTTTATGGAAGTAAACCGGTCACTGTTCTCATTCCTATCGTAACCAATCTGTTTGGTCGCCAACACAGTGACCAGGACCACCATCATTGTCTCTAACCTGACGTCGTCGTAGTCGCCGCGGCTTCTGTGTTTCTGTCAAACAATAGCTTGTAAGCCCCGTACATGGCCAATCCACCGGCAGCAGCACCAAGAGTAATCTTGGCAAACTTGCGGAGGCTGGACGAAGATTTCGGGTTCTTCGCCACAGTATCCGCAATCTTAGCTGCCACCTTGGCTGTAGATTCGTCTGTGAGATGCTTGCCTTCCTTCTGAGAGGAACCGAGGATGTATCTCATGGCATGAGCCTCGTCTCCCCTGGCCTCCTTCACTAAAACTGATATCTTGGCAACTTCATCATCAGAGAGCTTCGCAGCGGCCTTCGCTGCAGCAGCCAAATTTAGAGACTTGGCGATGGCAGCTTCGTCTCCTTAAGCAGCGTTGACCAGCTTCCCGGCTTTCTTTAGCAAGTGGCCGTCAACCTGCCCGGAGATAAAATGAGTAGCCGCTTCTGCAATATTTTTATTCTGAAGACGGCGGCCATCAACGTCCTTGTTGGGGGGAACTGGAAAGCTCTCGCCACTTGCAAAACTGTAGCAGCAGCCGACCAAGGCGACCATAAGCAGACCAACGAGGACACTGAATCGCATTGTTAAGTTCACTGCCAGGAGATTGTTTGTCGAGTGGGTGGAAAGGAAAATGATGTTGAAAGCTGTAGCATTAGATACCGTACCGTAAATGGCAATCTCTGCAGTGCACAGGCACGCGTACAGTTTTTCCTTCTTCAAATCTCTACTTGCTCGCATTTCTGATCGTGGTTATTCAACGAGTTCTTGTGTCAAAATTTAAACCGGCTGGTATCCCACCTTTAGTAACATTCCAGGTGGCTGTTCTTGAATGTTATCAGCTTCATTTAGCGCTCCAAAAGGCAAAACTGACCGGAATCAGTTTAATAGCGCCTATGAGATTTCCAGTACCAACATGTTAAAGGCATCTAAAGCTTCGGCGACCTATGGTGCTTCGAATAACAGAGTTTTCGTTTACTGTTAAACGACGTGCGAACATTTCTCTTTCCTTTAGATAGATTCACTTTCTTCTATGCTAGTGCCAGTAACTCTCGAAGTGCTATTCCACGCCATCATGGATGTCGCTTCTGGAATTGCTGATCGCAGGTAAAATATATTTATATAATCAAAAGGGGACGGCGCTAATCAGGGATAACGCAGATCACAATGACCCACTGACTACATAACGGCATCGAGATTGCAAAAGACAGCTGTGCTTGTGAAGATGAACCGAGATAAAAGCCGGAATGGAGTGGCTATCCGGTTCATATATATTATATATGTAGATATAAATATATATCTATATATAGATATATAATTCTTTTTGTGGACGTACCGTCCACAAAAAGAAAACCAATTTATTAGAGCGAAGTTAATTTAGCTGGCAAGCCAGGTAGTGCTAGTCACCTAGCCGACGCACGGTACCAACTAAGGCGAGCGAGGTGCGCTAAAAGTCTTGCTTTGCGAAGGCGGACCAAGCTCACTGGTGCCCCGCGCTTCGGACACTCTAGTAGTTCCAATCTTAAGCTTTGGAAGGTAAAAACGTGATTTTTTCAAAGTACAGCTTAGGGCTACACTTATGAAAAAAATACCGCAAATGCTGTTGGACGATTTGGCAAATATGGACAGGAAACTCATTTTCTGTAAAAGATGCGTTGAGGGTAGTAGTAGGGTTTTTAATTGCACAAGTATGTAATTTCGCGGATCAACAAACACCCTTTTAGTTGATGTGGGTTCAACAGAGCTAGCTCTATCGATTCCACCGCTATTAATAAACCATTGTATGACGGCTAGATATGCAGTGCCCACTATTAGCATTTCGGCTGGATGTTTATAACGCAGAGCACGGTGACAAAACGCCACACATCACACAGATGATGCGCGAAGTCTAGTGGATCATACTTTAGATGTAACATAACGACAATCTAGATTACAAGTACAAAAACCAGCGACATCCGTACCTCTCAAACGGCTGCCTCAGGTTTTCTTCACCCGTGCTTTACAAACTTTAGTACCACCCAACATTAACACCCTTTCTGTTAATTTTAGGAATACAGCAACTTCGTCTGGCTCTACGATGTGAATAATACCGTATGATTTTGATTTATGACTACAGCACCACAGACTAAGACTTCGTAAATTTCAGCGCACTTTGCCTGTGGGCTACACCGACGGCGTCAGCCACGTTCTTGTTGCCCGCCACCACGACTCACTAGTGCCGCCAACTCCTCATTGGCGCACGGGGACCTCGAAGAAAAAACATGGCACACGAGGATGGCCCGAAGTTGATGAAACACGATTTCATATATTCGAAAAGTAAACAAACCGCTTGTCAGTACTATTACTTATTAAAAAACGGTTGAAGGCATTTTATACCAATGTTTACTTTTCAAAAATATGAAATCGTGTATCATGAACTATTGACTCAATACCCCACACTTACTGTGTGGGTGCTCGTATGTCTGTACAGTACTGTACTGTACTGACATGAGTTAGTCACTAACTTTTTTGTAATTAACAGTTATTTCAAAATTATGCATGTTAGTAAAGTAACAAGAGGGGCTGTATTACACTTCGGTTTCAGCTTTATTAAGGACGAATCTTCTGCTGTGGGGCCCTCCTTGACAGTTTTCACCACCACTGGGCAGTAGAATTATGATCCTCGTGGTGCTGCGGTCACGTAGTACGAAAAGGGATAAATTCGGGGCATCTTTGGTGTATGTTACTTCATTTTAACGCATACAAATTTCAAACGAATGGCTAAATAAAATTGTCATTCTGAATTGATGGCTCACAGCTCCGAGCAGGTAAAATCACCAAAATTTATTAAATCTAGCATATACCAGGAACTGGACACGTACTGTAGTTTCATATGTCATTTTTATGATTGATTTCTTTTAATAAAAAAATGCCATATATAAACGCATTGATTCACTAAAGTTTAATTGATCTGAAAGCATTGGCAATCTACCAGACCTTCTTGGCAGCACGTTTAGTGTCTGCGTCTTATATTTCTAAGCGTACAGCTTGTTGTGACTCGCATTTGCGAATAATACAAGCTATGTAGTTTTCGTGGCCGTCATACCTAAATAAATGTAATGAGCCGCTTAGGCGCGTAGACTCGCAGCCGCCACTCCCCACGTCACTCTGCGCAAGATAAAGATACGCGCCATCGCAGCATCTAGTTTTTCGCAGCGCACTCCGTCCAAGTAACACAACTGTTTCGAGTTTACCAGAACGAAAGCAAGCGGTTTTTTCCGTTGCCGTTTTCAAATATGTCTGCTCCGCACCTCGCCGTGTTCTGGCTGGTCCTGTTGGTCAGATGTATAGATGCTAATGCTTGATAGCGTAGAGAGTGCTGGTAGATTAGTACATACTGTGTACGGCGATGGAATATAGAGCTCAAAGTCGGGCGGTGGTCCGCAGCAGGTGAGTTCGCTGGGAAATTGCTCTCTTAAATCACTTTACCTTCATAAACAGATCAACAAATCTATAGATGTCAGATGATAAGCTGTACTTTTAGCTTTAACTAAATCGTACTTCTTTTTAATCGTTAAAAAATAAAAT